TTCCCTTTTTTTTTTTTTTTAACTGCCCTGGTCTATGCCTGTGGGCTGTTTCTTGGCTGATTCTGTTCTCCCTGCCTGGTGATCAGTACAGAATCACTGAGTCATAGAGCACGTCAAGGGGAAGAATCCCAGACTGGAAGAGGGGCGGTCTGCTTTGAAGTCCTGTTTCTGCTGTGTGACCTTGGAGCACTCACTGTGCATCTCTGGGCCTCTGATGTCACATTACCAAAGTGGGAGAAAGTCCTTGGAAAAGCGTGAAGCCACACATACCAATGAGGGGTTGTTACCACCCGCCATTGTAGTTCTGCTCAGGGCATCTCCCTGGCTTCCCAGTCCTGTGTCCTGGGGCTGTCCCCACCCCTCCAGAGGCTTCTACTCAACAGCCTTGCCATCCCACAAGCAGCCCTGGGCTCCCACCTGGCTGCTTCCTGCTCTGAGCTCCTTCTCCAGGGAATTACCCTCGCCAGCCAGGAGGCTTGGGGTGGGCATCATGCCAAGTCTAGTCTGATGGCGCAACACTTACCATCTGGCAGCTGGGACCCCTGCCTTAGTTCTGGACTTGGCGGCAGGGATGGTGATCCGCCGCTGGAGTTAAGTATCTTCGGCCCTTCTGGTCATGTTCTCCAACAGAGCAGCGTATCCACGGACTCCGGGCCTCAGTTTCCTTCCTGTGTCCTGCATGCCACTTGAGGGGCGGGATCGGCGGATGGGCGGGATCGTGGCGAGATGGGAGGAGGATCGGAGAGCAGCCCCTCCCCCTCCTCTGCCCGGAGCCGGCGCTCTGCTGCTGGCGGGAGGGTTCGCATCCCCTCAGTGCTGCGTGGGAGGAAGGGGCCGCCCCGCGCTCTGCTCCAGAGGGGCTGGGACAGGGCACATCCCGAGAGGTGCTCGCAGTCATGGTGGTGTTCCTGGGCCGCCACCTCCCGGCTCTCCTTGGACTCTTTAAGAGGAAGGGTGAGTGGGTGTGGCTGGGGGGAGGGGAGGGGAGGGATCCCAGATACCTCTCTCTGCCGGACCCTATGTAGAAGGGGGGCTCACGGCTGGGAAAGAGTAGTGGGGTAGGGGCTGGAGGCTGGTAATGAGGCCGGAATCTCCCCTCTGGCTGTGCTTTTGTCCAGCTGCTTTGTGGCTGCCTTTGTCTGGGCCTTGCTCGTGCTTGAGTGGAGGAATGGATTCAGGTGTCTCTGACCTTGAAGCCTGCAGCCCTCCGGCTAAACGGCCTCTCTGCAGGGGTACCTGCACTTTCCTGGGTAAAGCTTGCTACCCCAGTTCAGAGAGAGGGCAGCTTTCTCTGGGGTCATCCCAATCTGTAGGGAGCAGAGAGGAGAGGAAACTAAAAGTAGGGGAGCTTGGTCCTTGAAATGTTCGGGGTCCGGGGGGAAGGGGTGGTGGAAAAGGTTTGGAGGGAGAGGCTTTCTTTCTCTAAGGCAGTTTATTGAACTTTTGGGGGCCGGGGGCTCCCTCTGGGAACCTGAAGTTTAGTTCTGGCTCCAACTCCCATTTGTCCAGTGATGTTAGGCAAGGCCTTTGCTCTTTGTATCTGTTTCCCCACTTGTAAAATCTGGGGATTTGGGTGAGATGATCCAATCAGATCTGCCGGGGGACCTCCTGACTCTGACCTGTGGGATTCCTGCCAACTCCCTGGGGCAGGAGCTCTGACTGGGGGAAGGAGGAAAGGCAGGTTTCTGAACTGAAGACCCTGTTCCCGGAGCGTGGCCCTTTAAAGGGCTTGTTTTGTTCCTGTCCCTTTATAAGGTGCTACCAAGGTCACATGACTCCCTCAGCACTTTTGCTTATGTTGTGGGTTTCATTTAAAGGGGGGCTGGGGCTGCGAAGTGCTGACACAGCCCCCCATCCCCAGGATTAGATGACCAGCCCCTCCATGGGCGGGGCGTGTAACAGGATCCTTTGTAATGGATCCCTGTCTCCTCTGTACCAGGGGCCAGGGCCAGGGCCTCCAGGAGAGGGGCATACCTGGGACCAGTCCCCCAAGAGATACTGGAGCTCCCTTGTCTAGGGTGGAGGGGCCTGGGTCCCTCTTCTCCCCTCCCCTGTCCATCCTTCCACTGAGGGTGGCCACATGGGTGAGTAGGGGACCCCGGAGGCGATTTCCTTGGCCTGCCCCTCCCCCCAGGATTTTCTGGGAATTTAGTTATGACCCCTGCCCTTCCTAGTTTCCCATGGTTTCTCCTTCCTAATTTCCTGTGGTATCTTCTGCCTGGGCCTGGGCCAAAGGGTTTTGTGAAAAGCGTGGTTTGTTTTCTTGTAAAGTGGGGTTTGGGATAGGTCAAGAAACGTATTTGTTATGGGCTATGTGTATATGGGGAATATCTTTTGTGGAGCCCTGAGTGATGTGTGGATACACAGTTGTGTATATACTTGGGTACTTTTGGCATATATACAGAATGGGGACTGTAGGTGTTGTGTGCACACATAGGGCATGGGTGTGCTTGGTGTGTGCATGTATTTATCCTTGAGTGCCCTTTGTCTGTATACATCACTGAAGCCTGTGAGTGTACATCACTGAAGCCTGTGAGTGTTGTGCATATAGTAGACCTGTGTGCCCTGTGTGTGCAGGGAACTCAGATATACACTTGGGTATAGTTTGTGTATGTTTGTGTATGTACATGGAAGGTGTGTGTATTGGGTGTGAACCCTAGAACTGTGGGTTGTATGTCCAGATTAGGGGAAGTGGGCACTGTGTGTGTGTGTGTGTGGAGGGGATTGTGTGCAGTCTGGGGATGCCCTTGTGGTGGTGCTTGTGCATCACAGGACCCAGGCACTTCTCCTCTTCTATCCCTCTAGGCTCTGCCAAGGTTGAGAGCGACAAGCGTCTAAGTGCAGGGCCCGGCCAGGGGCCAGGGTCTGTAGGGGATGAGCACCAGGACAATGTCTTCTTCCCCAGTGGGCGGCCGCCTCACCTGGAAGAGTTGCACACACAGGCCCAGGAGGGGCTCCGCTCCCTACAGCACCAAGGTAACCTCCTCCCTGTCCCTCCAGGGCTGCTCTCAGCTCTCAAGGTCAGAGACCGAACCTAACACTCTTCTGGTATCTTCCAGAAAAACAGAAACTGAACAAGAGTGGCTGGGACCATGGAGATACCCAGAGTATCAAGGTGAGCGCTGCCTTCCCCATTCCCTCTCAGTACTGACTCCGCTTTGCTCCCTGGCAAGTATGTCTTTGAACCTTTCTGGGTCTCAGTTTCCTTCCTGTATCATGAAGGGCTACCCTAAATGACCTGTGAGGACTAGTCCAGGGTTGCTCTGCTGATGCCTGCTCAGGGCTAGGTGATGCCGAGGGGAATCTGTGAGTCAAAAGTTGCACTGGAGAGCCCTGAGGAGGCAGCGCCACCCAGGCCGGGCCTGATTACCGTCTTCCCCCACAGTCCTCCCGGACCGTCCCCGACGAAGACAATATCTCCTTCTGCAGCCAGACCACATCCTACACAGCTGAAAGCTCCACGGCTGAGGACGCACTCTCCATCCGCTCCGAGATGATCCAGCGCAGAGGTGCCCGCTTGCCACACAGATTCATGGGAGAGGGAGAGGGATGGTGGGCACCATGGGGTCTCAGCACCTGCAGCTTCCTCTTCTCCTAATCCAGTGACCTCCCCAGGAGTCAGTGAATTCAGGAAACAGCATCCTGTATTCTCTTGGAGACTCATGATGCACATTAACTAGAAAGCAGGACAGTTGAGAGTTGGAAAATGTGGGCTTGAGACCTAGTGTTGCTACTTGTCAGCTGTGTGACCTCGGACAAACCCTTAACTCTCTGAACTTCTGTTTGATGTTCTATAAAAACAAGGATAATAACAGTACTTACCTCATTGGAACAAATGCCAAATGTTTAGCAAGCTAACACATAATATGTTAACTAAATAACAGTAAGCCAGCATTAAATGGAAATGATCACTGCTGACTTAGTAGCCTTCCAGAGGTCTTACAGGAAAGAAGCCTCTAACTTTGTTGGACCTAGCTTTGCCATACCTGCTTGCAGAAACCGTTTGCTGCAGAGCTCTTATTAGTATTGAAAGCAGTGCTCTGCAGATTGTGCTCTGAGTCCTCCTGCCTAACAGTTCTTCTCCCGGGCTGGCCCCAGGCTCCACCTTCCGACCCCATGACTCCTTTCCCAAATCATCCGGAAAGTCTGGGCGGCGTCGGCGGGAGCGGCGGAGTACGGTGCTGGGACTGCCGCAGCACGTGCAGAAGGAGCTTGGTGAGCCCTGGGCTAGGAGGGGTGGGGGCGGGGAGCCCTGGCCCGCCTCTCCCTGCTGACCCCCACCTCCTTCCTGTCCATTCCAGGCCTGCGGAACGAGCGTGAGGCGCCGGGTACGCCTCGGCCTCCTGGTCCCCGGGATGCTGTCCGCATTCCTACGGTGGACGGCCGTCTGGCAGGCCTGGCCTCGGGGGCGGGCGCCCGGGTGTCCCTGCGGGCCTTGGAGGCTGAGGCGGAGGCTGGCACCGAGACAGAGGCCATGCTGCAGCGCCACATCGACCGTGTCTACCGGGACGACACCCTTGTTGGCCGCTCCACAGGGGCCCGGCCCCCACCACTGATCCGGCCCCTGTCCCTAGCAGTGCCTGGACTGACAGGAGGGGCAGGACCTCCAGAGCCCCTGAGCCCAGCCATGTCTATCTCGCCTCAGGCCACCTACTTGTCGAAGCTGATCCCACATGCCGTGCTGCCACCCACGGTGGACGTGGTGGCCCTGGGCCGCTGCAGCCTGCGTACACTGAGCCGCTGCAGCCTGCTCTCGGCTAGCCCAGCCTCCATCCGCTCGCTGGGGCGCTTCTCCTCCACCTCAAGCCCACGGCCCCGTAGCCGCCACCCTTCCTCCTCCAGCGACACCTGGAGCCACTCTCAGTCCTCTGAGACCATCGTGTCCGACGGTTCCACTCTGTCCTCTAAGGGTGGCTCTGAAGGCCGGCCAGAGGACTCTGTGGCTAGCAATAGTGTGGTACCCCCTCCCCCGGGGGGCAGCGGGAGGGGCTCCCCTAGTGGGGGCAGCACTGCCGAGGCCTCAGACACACTCAGCATTCGGAGCAGTGGGCAGCTGTCCAGCCGGAGTGTGTCCTTCCGCAAACTAAAGCGGCCACCACCACCACCCCGCCGGACCCACTCACTCCATCAGCAGGGCTCAGCAACGCCAGACGGGCCTCTAGGGCTGCCTCCCAAACCTGAGCGCAAGCAGCAGCCACAGCTGCCTCGACCACCCACCACTGGTGGGTCAGAAGGGGTGGGGGCAGCACCCTGCCCACCCAACCCAGCAGGCAGCTGGGTGCCTGGCTTGTCTCCAGGCGGCTCCCGGCGTCCTCCACGCTCCCCAGAACGGACGCTCTCACCCTCCAGTGGATACTCGAGCCAAAGTGGTACTCCTACCCTCCCTCCCAAGGGTCTGGCGGGTGCCCCTGCTTCCCCAGGCAAGGCCCAGCCCCCTAAGCCAGAGCGTGTCACTTCCCTTCGCTCTCCTGGGGTCTCCGTCTCCTCTTCTCTCACATCTCTGTGCTCCTCCTCTTCTGACCCAGCCCCCTCAGACCGCTCTGGGCTGCAGGCGTCAACCCCCGTGGGCGACAGGTTTGTTATACCTCCTCACCCCAAGGTGCCTGCCCCCTTCTCCCCGCCTCCCTCCAAGCCCAAGAGCTCTAACCAAGCTGCCCCTGCTTTGGCTGTCCCTGCTGTGGTTCCTGGTTCTGTCTCTACTGCTGCCCAGACATCCTTAACTCCACCACAGGAGTCTCCTGTTGTCTGCAAAGCCCAGTCGCCCCCGCCGTCCCCACCCCCCTCTTATCATCCACCCCCACCACCCACTAAGAGGCCAGAGGTGGTTGTAGAGGCACCACCTGCCCCAGAAAGTGCCGAGGAGCCCCTCCAAGATCCCAACTGGCCCCCACCCCCACCTCCTGCCCCCGAGGAGCAGGACCTGTCCATGGCTGACTTCCCCCCACCCGAGGAGGCCTTCTTCTCTGTGGCTGGCCCTGAGCCTTCAGGCCCCCCAGAGCCTGTCAGCTCCCCCACGGCTTCACTCTCCCCAGCTACTGCTTCCCAGAGCCAGCCCCATGTTAGCCCAGACCCTCCTCTGGCTCTGCCAGCCCCACCTCCTGCTAGTTCTGTACCAGGGCTTCTGGCCAAGCTCCCTCGGAAGGAACCAGCGGGCTGTAGCAAGAGTGGTGGGGTTTCCAGGGAAGAGGCTGGTACACCCCTGGTCACACCTTCGCTCCTGCAGATGGTGCGGCTACGCTCTGTGGGTGCTCCCACGGTGGCTCCCCCACCAGCATTGGGGCCCTCGGCCCCCCAGAAACCACTTCGAAAGGCTCTGTCAGGGCGGGCCAGCCCAGTGCCGGCCCCATCCTCAGGGCTCCATGCTGCCGTCCGACTCAAGGCCTCCAGCCTGGCTGCCAGTGAGGGCCTTGTAAGTGCCCAGCCCAATGGACCACCTGAGGCAGAGCCACGGTCTCCCAAGTCCCCTGCCTATACGGCCAGTTTCATCTTCTCCAAGGGGACTAAGAAGCTGCAGCTTGAGAGGCCTGTGTCCCCTGAGACCCAGGCTGATCTCCAGCGGAATCTGGTGGCTGAACTTCGGAGCATCTCAGAGCAACGGCCTCCCCAGGCCCCAAAGAAGTCACCCAAGGCTCCCCCACCTGTGGCCCGCAAGCCCTCTGTGGGAGTCCCCCCACCACCTTCCCCCAGTTTCCCTCGGGCTGAGCCCCTTACTGCTCCTTCCACCAATGGGCTCCCTCAAGCTGACGACAGGACTAATGGGGAGCTGGTGGAGAATGGAGGTGTCGTGCAGCTGGTGGGCCCTGAGGACAAGATGGGCCCTCCAGGCTCAGGTACAGCCCCCAGTGGTGTGAAGGTGTCTAAAGTCCCGCCCTCAGGGATCTGTTCTGGGAGCTTTGAGACTCCTGGTCCTAGGATGCTCAGGAAGGGCGAACTGCCATCCTTGCTGAGCTGCAGTGAGGGAGCATGGCGTGTGGGCTCGGGCATCAGGCCTGCTGAGTTTGAATTTCAACTCTGCCACTTTCTTTACCCTTCCTAGTCAATGACACCTCCATTAGCGTGTCTGAGATAACATCTGTAAGGTGTCCAGCCCAGTGCTTCCGGCATGGGCTGTAAATCAAACGGGCATGAAAAGTTTGGGTGAAGGTGTGCCAGAACCAAGATCTTGCTGAGTGTCCCTTCTTTTTTCCACAGACCCACAGAAAGAGCTGGTCTGACCACTGGGCACCTCACTGGCACTGCTGACCCATCCCAGGAATAAAATCTCAGGGACCCGAGCAGCTCCAAGGATGAGAGGATACGGCAGACCTAGCCTGACAGAGAGGGCGCCTGCAGCCTTAACCTCCATGGCCTTCGATATTTATGCAAGCCTGGTGTTGCTCCTGTCCTCCAAGTCATCTCGTGCTCATGCCTTTTCCGGAATGGATTCACCTCTGGCAGCTGCCACCTCAATCTTGGCCTTAGCCTCATCTTGAAGGAGGTAGCTGGTGGGAGTCAGTGCCTGCGCCCCCTGCTGGCCCTGAGGCCACGTAGTTGGGAGCAGTGCACCTCACTTGAGCTTTTCTTTTTCTCCAAACCATGCACATACTGTAGTCCAGAATCAAAGCACTTTTGGAAAGTGGCCACATGTCCATCTTCCAGGCCTGGGAAACTGTTTCAATGGCCTGTTTACATGACAACAGTTATCAATCCCCAGCAGCCAATCCATAGCTTGGGACCAATCTGTGCCCTCCTCCCGCAATCCAGTTTGCTCCTTTTCTTGGTTCTTGGAGGTGGGCAGGTAATTGTAGTCCCACAGGCTGGTGGCAGGAGTGGGGCTGTGGGATTCCAAAGCACAAAAGGTGCAGTAGGGACTTGCCTTCCTGCGCCTCAACTCACCAACCAGCCTCCTGCCTTCCCGTTCTGCTAGGTGCTTCATGCAAGGGACAAGTAGGAGACTGTCAGGGCCCAAAGAGGTGGGGGAGGAGGAACCAGAGAAGTCTGCAGGGTCTCTGCCCTCAGGAAGCAGAATAGTAGGGACTCTTGGTGCGCACTTGGAGATGCTGAACGCCTGCCCCTTGCTCCCTTGTTTGGGTTGGGTGGGCAGATTGGGTTGGGTGGGCAGATTGGGTTGGGTGGCCGGGCACTTGACACATCAGAGAAAAAAGCCCTTGGGCTGAGGAAGCACTGAGGTGGGGAGCGTCTGGCACGGGGAGAGCTTACTTGGGCCGTGGGCCCATACCTGGCCCCACAGACAAATTCTCTGACCTTTCTCTTACTCTTTTCGGTGCATGTCCTTTCTGCAGCTGCCTTTCAGCACAGGTGGTTCCACGGGGGGAGCCGACACTGAGTGACAAAGATGGGAAGCCAAAGGTGCATTTTACTCAACTCTTCCCTAGTCAGTGAGGGGTACCCAGTGCTCCTGGAGCAGGCTGGGTGGTGGTCCCCTAGGTATCAGCCTCTGCTACTGCTCTCTCCTCCAGGAATGTTAACCTTTCTGTTTTCAGCCTGTGCCACCTAGGTAAGCTGGTTCCCCATTGGCCGCTGAGGCTCCACAGAGGTGGCCCTTATGCCTCCCTCCACAGCAGTGTGGCTGCCACCCAGGGCCATCCCTTCTTTCTTGATCTTCTTTCCTCAACAGTGACTTGAGCTTGAGCCTGGCAAGAAACCTCACTTTTAGCTTCACCACCAAGGAGAGAAGTTGACACTCCCTGCCACCCCCCAGGAGTTGGCAGCATAGGGGATGTGGTGTGAGCACCCAGGTTCCTCTGGCTCTCTCCAGGGCATCTTCAGTTTGTCATGACTCTCTTTTCCCTGTAGCTGTAAACCAATGTTCTTCTTTTGCCCTGTGGGTAATGGAGAGCTGCTGCTGGGTGGAGGCTGCACCTGCCCAGTGAGTCGGGAAAGAGGACAATCAGTGAGCATGGTTCTGCACAGAACTTCTGATCCACCCTGCCCCTCACTCCCTGCCTCCCCCCAAGCCAGGACCAAGTCGAAGCTCCATGAAATAGGTCTTGGCAGCAGCCTGGAAGCTGCTGGAGGTGGGAGAGAGCCCTAATGTCTTTCCTTCCCCTCTCCTGCAATGTTACTGGAGCTCTATCCTGTTAGGATCTGAGTTTGTTTCCCCACTGGGTGGGATGGAGAACAATGGAGAAGGGAGGATCTAGATGAGGTAAATGAGCTTGACCTAGAGCAAATGAAGACCAAAAGCCTCTGATTTTTAATTTCCATAAAAATGTTAGAGAGAGAGAAGTATATATATATATATATTTCTTTAAATTTCTGAGTCTTTGATATGTCTATACAAACAATCCATTCCCTCTGCCCTGAAGCCTAAATGAGACACACGAAAAATCTGTGTTTCATTTAAAGGTGTTCAGTAATTAAATGATTGAAACTTGGCTTTGGCTGCTGCTTCTTAATGGGAGAAGGACAGGGGCAGTGGTCTGGGCCCACATTTACAAGGGAAAACGTTCTGCCTGCTGTAGGCACTGGACCCAAGAGCAGGCCTCTTCTGCTTAGCACTGCCAAAGGGGAAGTCAAGGTGTCTATCATCCATTCTATCCACCCTGCCCCCATTACAAGGTCAGAAGTCCAAGGTACAGGCAACCCCAGGCTGGGAGAGGGACTAGCAGCTGCTCCACACTTGTGCTTTCTCCTGAGATGGTCCGGCTCACAGACAGGTCCCATCCAGACACCCTTGTTCTAACATTTTATTTGAATTTATGACAGTGATGATTGAGATGCCTTATGGAGAAGTCCCCGCCTTTTCTGAAGAAAGAACCACTCTGTGCCATCCCTTCTACCCCTCATCTAACAACATAGCTGGTTTAGGGAGTGTTCCAACCTAGCTGGATCAAGAGAAATTCCAGAAATCCTGGGACAGACCCTGCCCCCTAGTTCCAAGCCTCAGGGTAGGCAGACATTGGGAAAGCTGCCAACCACTTGGCAGACCACTAGGTTCTCTGTTTCCCCTTCCCTTTCCTATTCAAATCCCACAATTTCCGGCTGAGGAGAAGCTGTAATTAGTCCAGTTCAGGTACTAGAATCCCAGCTAGAGGCACAGCTGCTGGGATAACTCCAAGAAAATCTGGAAACCAATATTTTTCCAATTACAAGGATTGTGGCATTAACCTCTATGAGTTATATTGAAACCAGATTTCTCAAGTCAGTTGCCAAGGGAAAAAAGGGAGGGCTAGACTCCCTGCTGCTGCCCAGCCCTCCTTATTCCCCGGCGGGGTTCAGACTCTCATTGCAGCCAGACTGGATGATCCCAGATTCTGGGAGGGCAAGCTGCCCCTTACTGAGTTCTGTATTTAATAAGTATTGACCTGCCGCTTTAGTGTCCTGGGAGATGGATAACAAGGTGATGGATGGAGCAAATTAAGACATCCGCAGATGATTCAGGATGGTGGGAGAAGGGAGGAACATGCCAGATTGGCTAGCTAATGTTCCCTCCTTTCAGCGATTTACAGGAGATGGACCCCAGCTTGGTCATGAAGTTGCTTTGCTTCCACTGTGCAATGTACTCCTCAGAAATTTTAAAGTCAGCCTGGACAAGATAGACATACAAAAGAGATATTAACAACAGTAGTGGCGACAGCAAGAAAACTCTTTTATACCACCCCAGTAGTGTAAGATGGCTCAGCTTTCCTAAGAGATCAGTTTGTCAAAAGCTTTTGGCTGGGCTTGGTGGCTCAGCCTATAATCTCAGCACTTTGGAAGGCTGCGGTGAGTGGACTGCCTGTGCCTGTGGGTTCGAGACCAGCCCCCGGCAACCTGGTGAGATCTTATCTCTACAAAAAACCAGAAATTAGCTGGGCATGGTAGTGTGTGCATGTTGTTCCGGCTACTTGGAAGGCTGAGGTGGAAGGATCACGAGAGTCCAGCAGGCTGACGCTGGGGTGGCCGTGAGTGTGCGACTGCACTCCAGCCTGGGCGACAGAGTAAGACTCCAACTCAAAAAAAAAAAAAAAAAAAAATTACAAGCAAGTGCAAAGACTTATGTACCAAGATATCCATCACATCATTCTGATAGTGAAAAACTGAAAATAACCTCAAGTCTCATAAAGTTTTAGTTAAATTATGATAATTATAGAATACTATACAATGTGATCCCCCCTCAATATTTATGAAGATGGGAATATTTTCAAGCATAAAGTTAAATTTAAAAAGCATTTCGTATGAGCCAAATTGTAAATATATTATCTTTATCTTTCTATGCATAGCTAAAGACCAGAAGGAAATAATCACTAGTGATATTTTTTAGTATCTCGGCAGGACTAGGGATCTTTTTATTTTCTGCATTTCCTCCAAATATTTTAGATATTTTCTTAAATTTTTTTTTTTTGAGTTGGCATCTCACTCTGTCACCCAGGCTGGAGTGCAGTGGCATGCTCACAGCCACCGCAGCCTCGACCTGTTGGGCTCAGGCGATCCTTCTGCCTCAGCGTTCCAAGTAGCTGGAACTACAGGCGTGTGCCACCATGCCTGGCTTATTTTTTGATATGTTGTAGAGACGAGGTCTCACCAAGTTGCCCAGGCTGGTCTCAAACCCCTGGGCTCAGGCAATCCTCTCTCCTCAGCCTTCCAAAGTGCTAGGATTACAGGCTGAGTCACCACGCCTGGCCTCATTTTCTACTATGAAAATTTATTTTATAGCCAGAAAAAATAAGTGATTTACAAGGTCAGTCTAGAAAACCAGAAAAGGAGGGAATGGGTCAAGCCATTTGCCTCCTGTAGGAAGTTGGAGAGAGATAGAAAGCACACTCGGTGCCCTCCAGGGACACTCTGTCAAACTGATGAAACAAAGTATATTAATTAGAAAAAGTCACACATGACAACTGCTAGTTCCATGAGAGCCTGTTTTTGCTGCTTTGCTCATGGACATAGCCCAGACACCTAGAACAGTGCCTGACACATGTATCATGGCCTTGATATTTTAAGAGATGGGGTCTTGCTATATTGCCCAGGCTGATAACTCTTGGGCTCAAGCAATCCTCCCAGCTTGGCCTCTCAGAGTGCTGGGATTATAGGCATAAGCCACCATGCCCAGTCTTAGACTTGACGCTTGTCGAATGAATGAGAGAATGAGTGCAGGGATCACTGGGGCAGGCAAGTGTGAATCAGTGTCCAGAAGACAAGGAAACAATGAGTGCTCTAAGTTCAAGGTGAGCAGGAGGGACCCTGGAAGGGTTTTAATCATGGTTCCATCATTTCCGGTGACCCTGTGTGGCCCTGTCAGGTAAACAGCCAGGTAAAATGGGGATAATCCCCTCCTATCACAGGTTGAAGGTAAAATGGGGATAATCCCCTCCTATCACAGGTTGAAGGTAAAATGAGAAAACGTGAAGTCCCTCACACAGGGCCTCAGACAGTCTGTCCATGGCTCAGTAAATGTGAGGTCCTTCTAAGAACCCACACTCCTCAGACACCTCAAATTTAGAAAAGTCTGGAATGAAGAAGGAAAATAAGGGCTCAGATGCAGAAATTCCCAAGTGGAAAAGGGGAAGCTGTGGATTCAGTAACAGCACTCTGGGGACAGTCTGGGCAGCTCAGCCAAGGAGGGGGAATACGGCAGCTTTTTACCTGCAGCTTCTCAAAGACTTTCTTCTTGGGCTTGAGCTCCTCATCTGGCTGGCCCTTCTCATAGCCTTTCACAAACACTCGCTCACCGGGAGCAGAGCCTGCAGGAGGGTCCAGAGGTTCAACCTGGCGGCTTGTCCCTTCTCTGGGAAGACACACAAGGCAAAGAAAGGGTGAAGCTATGGATGGCTTCCAACGGCTGTGGAGGCTAAAGCAACCTGGGCCTTTACATAGATGCCCTGATGGGATTTTCTTTTCTTTTTCTTTGAGTTGGAGTCTCCCTCTGTCACCCAGACTGGAGTGCAGTGGCTGCACCCAGCCACCGCAGCCTCGACCTGCTGGGCTCCGGCAATCCTTCTGTCTCTGCCTTACAAGTAGCTGGAACTACAGGCGCGCGCTACTATGTCCGGCTCATTTTGATTTATTGTAGAGATGAGGTCTCACCAAGTTGCCCAGGTGGGTCTCGAACCCCTGAGCTCAGGCAATCCACTCACCTCTGCCTCCCAAAGTGCTGGGATTACAGGCGTGAGCCACCGCACCCAGCTCTTGGTGGGATTTAGGACATCCTCAGTACCAGAGCCCTAGCAGGTCCTCATTATTTTACTACACCTCTGGATTTCACCAGGGTTAGATTAACCAGCACTACACCAAAATTCTATGCCAGGAGAGATGCCAAAATCTGGGTTTCCGGGGAAGAAGTATGAAAGAACACAGCAAGGGCTTTATAGCCAATCAGAACTGGGTTTGAATCCTAGCTGTTAGTAGTGAGACTTGGGCATGAACACACTGCTTTGAACCCTCTGTTTAGATTCTAACAAAATTAACTATAGGTAACATGCTTCATTCACAGTACTTATACAGCAACTCCTGCACGCATCATCTGAAGAGGTACTTGTTCTCAGTGCTTCCACCTGGCACGGGGAAGGGTATCATCTGAGCTAATTCCCCACTCTTTTTGGCCTCCCCAGGTCCTGCGCCGCATCACAAGTCCACACTCACATAGAAGCACACAGAAGCATGCCTTGGGACTCGACTCCTCTCATCTTCTGGGGTTTCAGGTTGCACAGCACCACTCCCAGCCTGCCTTGCAGTTCCTCCTTGGGCACAAACTGTACCAGGCCGCTCACCACAGTCCGTGGCTCAGCTTCTCCCACGTCAATCTTCTCCACATACAGGCTGTCTGCATCTGGGTGCTGCCAGCAAGAAATGCCAGGCAGGAAAGTATCACAATGGAGTAGATCAGAAGCCTGGTGAACTCTTGGGCTTCAGAGATGGGCATTCATTTCCTACAGAGCACCCCCAAGGGCTCTCCCAGAGCTAACTCTTTCCAGGTCCCAGACAGCAGATGAGAGAATGGGCCTTGAAGGTATATTCTACTCTCAACTGAGGTTAGATCTGAGTAAAATAAACCTACAAGTTATGTAAGAAGCGGAAGAATTCCTAACAGTAAATGGCCTGGACTGTCTAGGTGGCCGCCATCATGGTGCACATGCTGCACCAGATCGGTTCTAGGTGGGCTGGGAGATGAGAGGGGGATAATTGCCGGCCTCACTGTTTGACACGGGGGCATCAAGAGCTCTCTCAAGGTCATTTTGGTGGTTGGGTGTATATAATGAAAAGCAAATCAATGCCTAGGGGAGACAAAAGCCCAGAACAATGGTCCCAAGCCACTGGGTACATAATCTTCTGTCTTTGGGAAAAAGGAAGTTTTCCTCCCTCTACTACATTCTAAAAGGGACAAAGTGACCGATCTAACATAAGGACTGTAGCTAGTCCAGGCAAGGGTTAGAGACCAAGACTTAACAGATATACAAGGAGTTCCCTCTGACTAATATCTGCTCCCCATTGCAAATTCCTGGCTGTGTTTGGTTGCATAATGTCCAAAGGCAACAACTGCTACGGAAAGCCTGATGCCTGGAATTAGACACCTGGGTTCTGACTTGCAATATGATCTCAGGGATGTTACTTCCTATCGCATGGCCAGGTTTCCTCCAGATGGAAACAGACAAACCTGACCCCATCTGTCTCTCTGGGATGTGGTGAAAAATGAGTACCTTCTCCACACTGATGATTTTCCCCACACGGATATCCAGCCGGGATGGGATGATCTCCTCTGGTTCTGAATTCTTAGCAGGGCCTTTGGCCACTGGCTCTGGAATGAGAAGAATCACATAGATAGGACTCTTGTCCTTCCTCACGGCAGGTCAGCTGCTGATCCCACCAAGTGAATGTTGCGATTAGGCAGGACTTGGCGTGGAATCCCCAGACTCTACCCACTGAGTGATACCTTCTTTATTATAGGGCTGGCAACCTTGCAGAACTTACATATCAGTTTCATCCATTCTCTCCACCAGTTATTTTGCTGGGGGAAGGGAATAGCAGTAGCTATGCCACCTGTAGGTGTTTCCACTCACGCATTCCATATAGAATTTAAGTCTTTTCTGGGAGACTCACACAGATCAATGCCAATATCTCAGCATCATGGATAAGAGGATGGCCAACTAAAAGCCAGTCAGAAGCACACAGAAAGGAACTAGAAGACTTGGAAGATGAGCTTCTCTAAGAAGCTCTGCAGGCCCTACCTGAGCAGCTGTATAATAAACCTTCGTATTCTATGTACCAACTGGGTATAACCATTCCCCTTAATGAACAGGCAGACTTAGTGAACACAGAAGAAGGATCAAAGTACATGACTCACACTGGCATCTCTCAGCAGTGTCAGTACAGCAGGATGTAACCACTTCCTGGTGTCAACCAAACCCAAATCAAGATGACTCAAGTTCCATTTTAGGAGTTAGTAGGATATGACATTCCTGTACTTCAGACCCCCGGGTTCTTGGGTCCTCAATTTAAGACAGACATTTGACAGGCTCGCTCTCTCACTGATGTCAACCCCCTCCCGGGCTGGCCTTACTCTGCTTTGAGGGATCCGGGTAGGCAGCACTGGTCAGTTTCTTTAGTGCAGGAGTATTAAACTTTTCCCGGATGGGATCCAGCAACTTGTTCAGGGCGACTTCAACAGAATTTTTTAGGTCTCCAGGGTGTACAACCTGCAGAAGTGAACAAGACCTGGTGAAATGAGGTCTGAAACAGGGCACAGGACACTTAAGTCTAAGAATGTACAGACAGGATGCAGGGAGTTTTTTTCCCAGCATTGTCTTATTTGATCCTCATGACCATCTTGTTAGGCAGCTAAAGCAGAGAAGAGAAAATAGATTCAGAAAGGTTAACTAACCTGTCTGAAATCCAGGTCTTCTGACTCTAAATTCCACCCAAACTTGAGGGTGTTTAAGGGCTGAATGCATTTATTAATCAAATTCTTCCAGTCCGCCTATTTATGCTTAAAGTAGTGGCATAAACCAAGTGCAATTTACAGGAAGAAAAACATTCACATGAGCAACCTGAGGGGCTGAGGGAATGAGCTGAGAGAAGAAAGAAGGGCTTTGGTTAGGCACTTCCCTAAGCTTTGGCTTCCTTGCTTATTAAATGAGGATAACAATAACTATATCTCACAGAGTCAGAATGAGGATTAAATTGTTTAATGTGGGAGAAAATACAGTAGTGTTGGTACATGGTAATGGTTCAGTAATCCAGTTTTTCTCCTTGTGTCCTGTAACTACTTTTTTAATATCCCAAATGTGGCCTGAAAGAATATTTTAGATATTCTGAGGGGATATTCTTATCCCTTAGGTATAAATATGTGTAATACAGCAATGGCAACATTTTGTTCTCATGCTATTTCTTCAGTTCCTTGGGAATATTTAATTTTTAATAAAAGCTCTAGGCCTAATGCTGCCCAATATGGAAGCCACCAATCTTGTATGGGTACTTAAATGTAAATTAAAATTCAGTTCTTCAGTTGCAATAGCCACATGTGGCTAGTGGTTTCCGTATCAGTCATGGTAGATAGAATGTATCCAACACCACAGAGAGTTATATAGAATAACATGGCTGCAAACATTTTTCCTCAGGTATTTCATCTATTCCTTCTCATTATTCCCACAAAGGACTGTTTATGAGGTCAAGGAATACAATATGGGTTCTGTAGCCTGCCTCAGATGGCAGAGAGAAGGGTTTCTGAGCAACAGCTATAAAATATCCCCAAACAGGCCTTAAGTGTCTTCAGACCTCAGCAGTCACTGAATATTCCCCTCCATTTGCTGCTCAAACCATCTGCATATAACCTTGCCCCAAGGGGTCCTCTAGCCTCTGCCTGAACACCTCCTATCAAGTGAGGCAGCCCTGCCCATTGCCAAATGGTTGGGGTTATTAGAGAGTTTATCCTGATGCTGAGCCTAAACATGCCTCCCTGTGGTCCCTACCCACAGTCCTGCTTTAGCCTTCGGGTCCCACAAGAAGAAATCTAACTCAGGGTTGGTCATGGTGACTCACAGTTACGTTCCCAGGACTTTGGGAGGCCAAGGCAGGAGGATCACTAGAGCCCAGAAGTTCAAGGCTTCAGTGAGCTATCATATCCCAACTGCACTCCAGTGTAGGGCAACAGAGTAAGACCTCTCTTAAGAAAAACAAAACAAAACAAAAAACCTCCCAAACCCAGCCTCTTCCCCATAAGAGTCCTTCTCATATTTGAGGATGACTGAATACATACTTGCTTCCCACTAAACATCACTGGATTTTTCAATGTTCCCTTTTGTGACATATTTTGAGTCTGTTCTGTGTCATGACATCCCTCCTTCCCCAACCAACATGTCCCAGGTTGTCAAATAAACCCTTAAAATTCAAGTCCAGGAGCCGGGCTCGGTGGCTCAGCCTGTAATCCCGCGCCTTTGGGAGGCTGAGGTGAGTGGATTGCCTGAGCCCGCGGGTTCGAGACCTGCCTGGGTAGCGAGACCTCATCTCTACAATAAATCAAAAAATCAGCTGGGCGTGGTAGCGCGCGCCTGTAATTCCGGCTACTCAGAAGGCTGAGGCAGAAGGATCACTGGAGCCCAGCAGGTCGAGGCTGCGGTGGCCGGGAGCGGCCACTGCATTCCAGTCTGGGCGACCGAGTGAGACTCCAACTCAAAAAAAAACAAAAAACAAAAAAAAAAAAAATTCAAGTACAGGGCTGAATACGCAACCCTAGTGCGCTCAGAATAACAGAGAGCACTGGCTGGGCGCGGTGGCTCATGTCTGCCTAGGAGTTTGAGACCAGCCTGGGTAATATAGCAAAATCTCAACTCTTTAAAACATACAAAAATGAGCCAGGCGTGGTGGCATCACCTGTAGTCCCATGGAGACTGAGGTGGAAGGAGTGCCTGAACCCAAGAATTCAAAGCTGGAATGAGCTGTGATTGTGCCACTGCCCTCTAGCCTTGGCAACAGAGTGAGATCCTGAGTCAAAAAAAAAAAGAAAAGAAAAGAAGAAAGAAAACAACACAGTGCCTGTCACCTTCTGATTCTGGACTCTACATTTCTGATGACTTAGTCTAAGATTTCATTAACATTTCTAATACATAGCTCCATCAATTTCCTGCTTCAGTCTGAATTCAGAGATTCAGAGTCAATTAACTCCCCATACCATTCCCTATACACACTATTATTATGCCTTCTCTTTGTGACCTGGCCCTGCATACCTTTCCCACAATGCCCCACCTTACCTGCTAGACTCTAGTCAGACCCAAACACTTGTGATTCCTCATATATCATGCTGTTTCATCTTTTCATGTCTTCATACTATTTATTTATTTTTTTGTTTTTGAGGTGGAGTCTCAATCTGTCACCCAGGCTGGAGTGCAGTGGCACACTCATGGCCATCACAGCCTTGACTTGCTGGGCTCAGGTGATCTTTCCGCCTCAGCTTTCCAAGTAGCTGAAACTACAGGCTCGCACTACCACACCCAGCTAATTTTTTGATTTACTGTAGAGACAAGGTTTCACCAAGTTGCCCAGGCTGGTCTCGAACCCCAGGACTCAGGCAATTCTCTCGCCTCCACCTCCCAAAATGCTGGAATTACGGGTGTGAGCCACTGCTCCCAGCTGTCTTCAATTGCCTCACAGATTTCCTCATGAACTTCTATTCCTCAAGCAAGATACTGCTTGGCTATTGTCTCCCACAGGCTTTTCTGGACAGTCAATCACTTCCTATTTATTTATCTTTTCATTGTGTAGTGACACGGTCACTGACATGTTCACATGTCTGCCTTTCCTACACAGCTTCATGAGGATTTCATCCCCTTTGTAATGCCAGTCCCTAGCACAGTTCCCACTACATAGGCACATCTATTCTGTTCTTTTATAGTTGTCTCTCTTTTTTGAATCCCATTTTTGTACCTTTCCCTGAAATACTTTATCTTCTTGGGTTAGTTCTTTATTCCAGTCTGTCAAGCCTTTTGGAGAGTGATTAGGATATCAATACATTGGCTTTGCACCTTTTGCCCACCTAATTGTTGAAGCACTTGAGTCCTCATTTTGAGCCATAAACAAAATATACAAGGCCGGCTGCAGCTCGGCTGGTAATCCCAGCACTTTGGGAGGCTGAGGCGAGTAGACTGCCTGAGCCTGTGGGTTCAAGACCCACCCGAGGAACTTGGTGAGACCTCGTCTCCGGAAGGACAGCCAGAGCCCAGCAGGTCGAGGCTGCGGTGGCTGGGAGCGTGCTACTTTGCAATCTGGGTGACAGAGGGAGACTCTAACTCAAAAAACCCCAATAAACAAAAAACAAAATATACAGCCCTGGAGAGCACTAAGACAGAACCCTGTGGCACATAACAAAAACCTGGCTAGGCCAAGATGCAGAGGTTTGTCAGAGTTCAGTGGGGATTAGCTTTCCTCTAGTATTACCTCATCAGCAAAGTCCTTTTCCAAGTCCATGTAAGCTGTGTAGGTTTTGTTTCCACCCCATTTCTCATCTCGAAGGATCACAAACTCTATAAGAAAAAGATTCATGCCAACAAACTTATTGATAACAGCAGTCAGTAGTCCTACCCCAAATGAATAACTATTTATAGTTTTTGTCTATATTTTGAACTTGATTATATGGCATTTTACTGTTTTTAAATTAGATGGGTGGCAATATTGTCTACCCAGCTAACATTCCAGCTCCTTGAGGGAAGGACTGTGGCTTATGTATTTTGTTGTATTCCTTTAGGTCAACATGTCTGCCTTAGCCCCCATTTCTAACACCCTTGCCTACCCCAATATCCCCTTCCCAGAACTTAGCCTAGTAATGAACATATGGACAACTTAATATAACCTAACCTAATCCATACATGAATATATGAGAAATCAGAGCAGAGAATCAGGGCAGTTAGTCCCCGGAGGAAGAGTCTGTGACAAATCACAAGTATGATCACAGTATGAGTTTTGCTATTCTAGCCTGGCCTCTGAGAAGAAAACAGTGTCTTACCGGACTTGAGGGGAAAGAGGACATGTTTGATGAAGGACAGAACCCCATTATTCTCCACATTTCCTGGCTCACAGAAGGCCTTCTTCAATTTTTTCTTTACATCCTCCTTCCGATCAAGGAGATCAATCTTGGACTCCTAGAAGTCATGGAAGGGAAAAGGCCCTCTTGTGGTTGAAAATGAGAATATGCTCAACTAATTTGTATATTTAAAAAAATTCTTAGCCGGGCGCGGTAGCTCATGCCTGTAATCCAGCACTTTGGGAGGCGGAGGTGAGAAGATTGCCTGAGCCCAATGGTTCAACTTGACAAGAACTCATCTCTACAATAAATCAAAAAAATTAGCCAGGTGTGGTGGCATGTGCCTTTAGTTCCAGCTACTTGGAAGGTTGAGGTGGAAGGATTGCCTGAGCCCAGCAGGTCAAGGGTGCGGTGGCTGTGAGCATGCCACTGTACGCCAGTCTGGGCGACAGAGTGAGACTCTGACTCAAAAAAAAGATAAATAACTTCCCCCCCAAAAACCAAATAAATTATTTTACAAAAATTTTAACATTTAAAATAGCCATAACTAAAGCAGAATTAATCAGTTGAAGAATCACTAACAATTCTGCCACCCAACAAATAAAACTATTTTAGTTTTTTGTACTCTACCCAGGCTTTGTCTACAGCATGCAGAATTGTTATAAATTTGTAGTTAGAGGCTGGGCATAGTGGCTGACACCTGTAATCCCAGCACTCTGGGAGTCCAAGGTGAGAGGACTGCCTGAACCCAGGGGTTAGAGACCAGCCTGGGCAACTTGGGGAGACTGTGTCTCTACAATAAATAAAAAAAAATTAGCTGGGCATGGGAGAGCGTGCCTATGGTTTCAGGTACTTGAAAGGCTCAGGTGGAAGGATCGACTGAGCCAGGCAGTTCATGGCTGCAGTGGCCGTGAGTGTGCCACTGCACTTCACCCTGGGCAACAGAGTGAAACTCCGACTAAAAAAAAACAACAAAAAACAAAATTTGCAGTTAGAGAATAAATGTCTGGGGTTGGGTACTGTGGCTCATGCCTGTAATTCCAGCACTTTGGGAGGCCAAGGCAGGAGAAGTGCTTGAGCCCAGGAGTTCAAAACCAGCCTCGGCAACACAGCAAGACTTCCATATCTACCAGTAAACAAAAACAAAACAAACATGAAAAAAGAAAAAAAGAAAAAAAAGCCAGGCATGGTGAATTAAGCCTGTAATTCCAGCGCTTTGGGAGGCTGAGATGAGAGGATTGCCTGAGCCCAGGGGTTCGAGACCAGTCTGGGCAACTGGGTGAGACCTCGTCTCTCAACAATAAATAAAAAAATAAGCCAGGCATGGTAGCACATGTCTATAGCTCCAGTTACTTGGAAGGCTGAGGTGGAAGGATTACTGGGGCCCAGTAGAGTGACGCTGTGGTGGCTGTGAGTGTGCCACTGTACTCTAGCCTGGGCAACCGAGACTCTGAGTCAAAAAAAAAAGAGAGAATAAATATTTGTCTTGTATTTCTGAATAGCTACCTAGTCTTCAGTTATAATTTTTATGCTGCATTATATTCCCAATTATTAGGGGCAACATAGTTTAATAATTTCTGAACTGTTAGATTATATCCCAATTTTTACAAATTATATATAATGCTACATTGAACATCTTTGCAGAGATTTTTTGCCATCTCTTGAATTTTTTTGTTTTCTTTGTTTTTGAATTAGAGTCTCACTCTGTCACCCATACTGAAGTACTGTGGCACGCTCATGGCCACTACAGCCTCGACCTGCTGGGCTCAAGTGATCCTTCTGCCTCAACCTTCCAAGTAGCTGGAACTACAGGCAGGTACCACCATGCTTGGCTAATTTCTTGATTTATTGTAGAGATGAGGTCTTGCTAAGTTGCCCAGGCTGATCTCCAGGCTGATCTCGAAACCCTGCGATCAGGCAATCCTCTTGCCTCAGCCTTCCAATGTGCTGGGATTATATGCTTGAGCCATCACTCCTGGTCTTGCCATCTCTAGAACTTATGTATTTCCTTAAACTACCTAAAACTGTTAGATTCAAAATTGTTTTCTGAAAGGTATAGTAATTGAGATTGCCTTCAGCAATGTGTGAGGATACTTGTTTTACAGCAATCACCAACATCTGATATTATATATTATTTAGAACATTTTTTCTTTTTGGATAATAGGCTTTGTTTCTTATTTTGGAGTGAGTTCATGGTCATTTGAGTTTAGTGGTTACCAAATTCTAGCCCACATATGACCATACATGAGTCACTTGGGATTCATTTAAAAAATATACATCATTGGGCTTTATCGAAACCTAGTGAATCAAAATCACTTGGGGTTAGGCCAGGCATTTATATATATATATATATATATTTTTTTTTTGAGTTAGAGTCTCACTCTGTCGCCCAGGCTGGAGTGCAGTGGCCGCTCCCGGCCACCGCAGCCTTGACCTGCTGGGCTCCGGTGATCCTTCCGCCTCAGCCTTCCGAGTAACCAGAATTACAGGTGCGTGCTACCACGTCCGGCTGATTTTTTTTTTTTTGATTTATTGTAGAGATGAGGTCTCGCTGCCCAGGCGGGTCTCGAAGCCGCGGGCTCAGGCAATCCACTCACCTCAGCCTCCTAAAGGCATGGGATTATAGGCTGAGCCACCGAGCCCGGCTGGCATTTATATTTTTAAAAAGTTCTCCAGGGTCGGGTGCAGTGGCTCACGCCTATAATCCCAGCACTTTGGGAGACCGAGGTGAGAAGACTAGCTGAACCCGCAGATTCGAGACCATCCTGGGCAACTTGGCGAGACCTCATCTCTACAATAAAAAATTAGCCAGGCATGGTGGCGCATGCCTGTAGTTTCAGCTACTTGGAAGGCTGAAGTGGAAGGATCGCCTGAGCCCAGCAGGTCAAGGCTGCCGTGGTCAGAAGCATACCACTGCCCTCCAGCCTGGTGACAGAGTGAGACTCCAACTCAAAAAAAAAGTTCTCCAAGCCGGGCTCGGTGGCTCAGCCTATAATCCCGCGCCTTTGGGAGGCTGAGGTGAGTGGATTGCCTGAGCCCGCGGGTTCGAGACCCGCCTGGGCAGCGAGACCTCATCTCTACAATAAATCAAAAAATCAGCCGGGCGTGGTAGCGCGCGCCTGTAATTCCAGCTACTCAGAAGGCTGAGGCGGAGGGATCCCCGGAGCACAGCAAGTCGAGGCTGCGGTGGCCGGGAGCGGCCACTGCACTCCAGTCTGGGCGACAGAGTGAGACTCCAACTCAAAAAAAAAAAAAAATCTCCAAGTGGCCAGGTGCAATGGCTCACACCTATAATCCCAGTAATTTGAGAGGCGGAGACAAAGAGGATTGCTTTCCAGGAAGTCAAGACCAGCCTGGGCAACATGGTGAGATCCCCATCTCTATAATAAAAAAAAAAAAAAAAATTTAGCTGGGTGTGGTCACACATCTGTAATCTCAGCTACTCAGAAGACTGAGGCAGAAGATATGCCTGAACCCAGCAGGTCGAGTCTATGGTAGCTGTGATTGTGCCACTGTATTCTAGCCTGGGCAACAGAGCAAGACTCTATCCGTAAATATATATATGTATAACATGCATATTAAAAATATATAAAATAAAATTTTAAAATGTATTCATCGATTTCTGATTGAAGTTTGAGAAATCAAGAAGTCAAAGTTAAAGAACTAGATGAGTGTCCATGTGTGAGTCTTGAGTCACCTAACAGGATTTGAAAGAAAATACAGGTTTCTGAGTTCCTCCCAGAACTACTTTATCAGATTCTCTATGGACAGCGTCTAATCAACACTTTAAAAAAAAAAATTTCCAGCCAGGCTCGGTGGCTCAGCCTGTAATCCTGCGCCTTGTGAGGCAGAGGTGAGTGAATTGCCTGAGCCTGCGGGTTCGAGACCTGCCTGGGCAACTTGGTGAGATCTCATCTCTACAATAAATCAAAAAAATTAGCCAGGTATGATAGCGCACGCCTATAGTTCCAGCTACTTGGAAGGCTAAAGTGGAAGAAGGATTGCCAGAGCCCAGCAGGTTGAGGCTGCAGTGGCTGGGAGCGGCCACTGCACTCTAGTCTGGGTGACAGAGTGAACCTCCAACTCAAAAAAAAAAAAAAAAAATTCCTCCAGTGATTATGAAGATCAGCCATGTTTGGGAACCCAGAACTTAACTTTTCATATCTTTGGATTCCACTTATTCCTCTGTTCTTCTATTTAATGAACAGAGCAAAAGTGTATTTTCCTTAAGTAGGACTCTTAAATGTTAAAAAATATCATATTTATAGTATTAGTTATATTAAATACCATCCTAAGAATAAAACTGTGAATTGATGGAGTACAACTGTGGCCCTCTCATTAATAAGGCTGAATTTCATTCTATGAATGAAGAAATCACTTTTGTTTGTCTTTTTATTGGTAAAAGTAAAAACTGTTAAAATTATAATTGGATCTCATCAGAAGCGCTTCTGGGTCCTTCAATATTCAAGAGCCACTGAATTAAATGAATGATGTAAGGCCCCTAATAACTCAAATATTTGAGAATTCTAGTTAGCCAAATTTTTCTTTTGAGTACTTGGTTTCTTCATTTTGCTGAAGATTTCTGTACTCGTCACAGCTGGCAACTTACCTCTTCTGAAGAGCTCATTTTACTTCCAGTTAATCCTGGAACCATAGGATTCATCAGATGGACCCGCTTTGAGTAGCCAAGTGCAGGGAGGTACTGAGAAATTAGAAAGAAACACTCAAAAGCCGATATTGTTATAAATTCCTCCTTAGTGCTTTGAGCTCATCTAATCTGGCCAGCAACTTAATAGTTAGACATATTGTTTCCAACCATTTTTCTATTCAATAGCTATAGTTTTCAATAGTGATCATAATATAAGCAAAGTTTTTTCCCTACTGCTTTTCTATTAGTTTCACATTGTGAGGTTGCTGGACTTATTCTAACCATAAATAACTATACAAGCTGGAAATACATAAAACCATTTGCAGAGATTGGCCAGGAACCAGTGTAGAGCCACAAATCATGAGGGAAGGGAAGCACGGCGACTCCACATTCACCTTGGCCTTCTCCCTGGGGGCATTTTAAAAAATAAGGTGTAGAGAAAGAGACCAAGGAGACAGTAGTAGTCTGACCAAGCAGAAGAGACAGACATTAGAGTTCAGGGCTGTAGGCCAGGACTTGGGATGGATTCTAAAGAGGAGGCATCTTCCCTTTGTATCTTTGTCAAAATTCCCCACTGACTCATAGTTGTGTGAAAATATGGTGAGACTCTAAGATACTGACTGGGCAGAGACCAGACTCTGGGAAGCTGGAGACCTGAGCAGAGATTTCAGAGCTGTACAGTTCTGGGAAGACAGAGGTTGAAGTTTAAGTCCAATCAAAGTAGAGAGGGTTTTGTGAACACCCTGAGATTTCAGACATTTCAGTTTGAGATCCCAGAAAGGCCATGCTCTAGGAATAAGGAGAACAAGTACTGGAGAAAGAATAAAACTGAAGTAGATGTGTTCTAACAAAGCCTAAAACCAATCCCTCACAGGACCAAGGTGATGAGTCAGCAATTTAGCAATCTGCAGAAAACACAGTGAAAGGAAGAAGGCTGGGTGTGGTGGCTCATACCTGTAATCCCAGCACTTTGGGAGGCAGACGTGAGAGGACTGCCTGAGCCCATGGGTTTGAGATCAGTCTGGGCAACTTGGTGAGACCTCATCTCTACAAAAAATCAAAAAATTAGCCAGGTGAGGTGGCATGTGTCTGTGGTTCTAGCTACTTGGAGGGTGAAGGCGGAAGGATCACCTGAGCCCAGCAAGTTGAGGCTGCGGTGGCCGTGAGCATGCCACTGCACCACTCCAGTCTGGGCAACAGAGTGAACCTCTGACTCAAAAAAAAGAAAGAAATCCCAAAACCTCAGAATAAACTTAGTTTAAGTGCAGCCATCTTACTTAGCTTTACCACTGACAAGTTTGCTGAGCAGCTTGCACATTCTTATTATAATCATTGGCAGAAAAATTACCTTTCCCAGAACCAGTTTTCCCAGCATTAGGCCTTAGAACTTGGTGATTATTCAAACCCTCTTAAGCATGTCCAGTCCTACTAACAGTCTTTCTTCCAGGCATTGGTATTGATACACTGTTATCAGTCATCTGTGATGACCTGCAGCCCACAAGATGCTGGTACTTGGTGATGTCAAGATCCAAGACTTATGTGGCTGCTGTCAACATCAAAGAAGGCAGCTCTGGCTATTCCTTTTGGCCCAGACCCCTTCAAGCTCAAACCCTACCTTGTTCCAAGGACCCTTAAATATACATAGAACTCAGCCCTTCAAGGCCACATTCACCTATTGACTGCCGCCCCCTTCCTGTCTGTGGAAAGTGGATAATAAACTTTACTTTTTTTTTTTTTGAGTTGGGGTCTCACTCTGTTGCCCAGACTGGAGTGCAGTGGCCGCTCCCGGCCACCGCAGCCTCGACCTGCTGGGCTCCAGTGATCCTTTTGCCTCAGCCTTCCGAGTAGCCGGAATTACAGACACATGCTACCACGCCTGGCTAATTTTTTGATTTATTGTAGAGATGAGGTCTCACCTGCCCAGGCGGGTCTCGAACCCGCGGGCTCAGGCAATCCACTCACCTCAGCCTCCCAAAGGTGCGGGATTACAGGCTGATCCACCGAGCCCAGCTGTTTTTTTTTTTTTTTTTTGAGTAAGAGTCTCACTGTGTCATCCAGGTTGGAGTGCAGTGGCCTGCTTATGGCCACTGCAGCCTTGACTCACTGGGCTCAGGCAATCTTCCACCTCGGCCTTCTAAGAAGCTAGAACTACAGGCATGCACCACCATGCTTGGCTAATGTTTTGATTTATTGTAGAGATCAGGTCTTGTCAAATTGCCCAGGCTGGTCTCTAACCCCTGACCTCAAGTAATCCTCTTGCCTCTGCCACCCAGAGTGCTGGGATTACAGGCGTGAGCCATCATGCCCAGCATAAACTTTACTTCTTTCTCTGTTGCAATCTTGCATTATTCCCATGGTACCAGCCGACCTTGCCTCAGTTTACCCTTTCACATAGCATTTCATAAACATAATCCAGAACCTGTGTAACATATCTACAATCTCTTTGTTACAATAAAAAAGTACTAGCAGCCAGGCTTGGTGGCTCAGCCTATAATCCCATGCTTTAGGAGGTTGAGGTGAGTGGATTGCCTGAGCCCCCGGGTTTGAGACCCACCTGGGCAACTTGGCGAGACCTCATCTCTACAATAAATCAAAAAATTAGTCAGGCGTGGTAGTGGACACCTGTAGTTCCAGTTATTTGGAAGGGTGAGGTGGAAGGATTGCCGGAGCCCAGCAGGTCGAGGCTGCGGTGGCCAGGAGCGGCCACTGCACTCCAGTTTGGGCAGCAGAGTGAGACCCCAATTAAAAAAAAAAAAAAAAGTACTAGCAATGGGAAGCATTGCAAAAAAGTGACTGATAATCAAGAAAAAACAGTCAGCCGGGCTCGGTGGCTAAGCCTGTAATCCCGCGCCTTTGGGAGGCTGAGGTGAGTGGATTGCCTGAGCCCGCGGGTTCAAGACCCGCCTGGGCAGTGAGACCTCATCTCTACAATAAATCAAAAAATCAGCTGGGCGTGGTGGCGCATGCCTGTAATTCCAGCTACTCAGAAGGCTGAGGCGGAAGGATCGCCGGAGCCCAGCAGGTCGAGGCTGCGGTGGCCGGGAGTGGCCACTGCACTCCAGTCTGGGTGACCGAGTGAGACTCCAACTCAAAAAAAAGAAAAAGAAAAAACAGTCAACAGAAGCAGACCTAGACACAATCCAGATATTAGAGTAAGTAGACCAGGATGTCTAAGTAAACTGTGATTGGCATGTTAAAGATAATAAGAGGAAAATATAGGCAAAATAGGTAAAAGGGAATTATAAAACAGAAGTGGAATCTAGAAAAAAGAACAGAAGTTCTAAAATGGCACAATACAATACTGGATTTAACAGAAGACAGGTTTAATGAAATTGAAGAAAGGTCATTAGAAAACATCCATAGTAGCCAGACTCGGTGGCTAAGCCTGTAATCCCAGCGCTTTGGGAGGCTGAGGTGAGTGAATTGCCTGAGCCCACGGGTTCAAGACCCACCCGGGCAACTTGGCAAGACCTTGTCTCCACAATAAATAAAAAATTGGCTGGGCGTGGTAGCGCATGCCTGTAGTTTCAGCTACTTGGAAGGCTGAGGCGGAAGGATCACTGGAGTCTAGCAGGTCGAGGCTGTGGTGGCCAGCAGCATGACACTGCACTCCAGTCTGGGCGATGGAGTGAAACTCCAACTCAAAACAAACAAACAAACAAACAAACAAACAAATAACAAAAAAGAAAACATCCATAGTAAAGCACACAGATAACAGACAAAGGAAAATAACAGAACAGAATATGAGACACGCGGGACATCATCAATAGGCTTAACTGATGTGTAACTAGAGTCCCAAGAGAGGAGAAAGAGAGTGTGACAGAAGCAATATTTGAGGAAATAATGGCTGAAAAATTTTCAAATTCGATGAAAACATAAACCCACAGATTGAAGAAAAATTCAAGCAGGATTAATACAAACAAACAAAAACTACAACTAAAAACATCATAGTCAAATTTCTGCAAATCAGAGACAAAGAGAAAATCTTAAATACAGTCAGAAAAAAGACATTTTATCTTCAAAGGAGAAACAATAATACTGATAGGATATTCAGTGGAAACTATGGAAACCATAGGCAATGAAATGATTCTTTAATAGCACTAAAAGAAAAATAATTGCAAACCTAGAATTTGGTTATACCCAGTAATAGAAAAAGAAAGATGTTTACAAACAAATGAAAACTGAAAGAATTCATTACTGAAAGACCTGCACTACAGGCATAAAATACTAAGGGGGCTCTTCAGGTTGAAGGAAAGTGAACAGAACTGCAGGAGAGAATGAAGAGTAAATAGATGTAAATATACATGAAAACTGACTATTTCAAAACAATTATACTAAAGACTTTGGGATTTACAACATAAGTAAAAAGTGAAATATATGACCATGATAGCATAAAGACTGGGGGAAGTTAAACGGGATAAACTGTTATAGGTTCTTGCATTGTTGTAAAGTGGTAAAAATATCTAACTTAAGCTGTAATAAATTATAAGAATACATGTTGTAATCTCTAGGGCAAAGGTAGGCAAAACTTTTGTAAGGAGGCAGATAATAAAGATTTTAGGCTTTGAGTGCCATGTATGTTGTCTACTGCATATTATTCTTTACCTTTTTTACAGTCCTTAAAAAATGTAAAAACCAGTCGGGCTCGGTGGCTCAGCCTGTAATCTCGCGCTTTGGGAGACCGAGGTGAGTGGATTGCCTGAGCCCGCGGGTTTGAGACCTGCCTGGGCAACTTGGCGAGACCTCAACTCTACAATAAATAAAAAATCAGCCGGGCGTGGTATCGCGCGCCTGTAGTTCCAGCTACTTGGAAGGCTGTGGCAGAAGGATTGCCGGAGCCCAGCAGGTCGAGGCTGCGGTGGCCGGAGCAGCCACTGCACTCCAATCTGGGTAACAGAGTGAGACTCCAACTCAAAAAAAAAAAACAAGCCGGGCTCAGTGGCTCAGCCTGTAATCCCACGCCTTTGGGAGGCTGAGGTGAGTGGATTGCCTGAGCCCGCGGGTTCGAGACCCGCCTGGGCAGGTGAGACCTCATCTCTACAATAAATAAATAAAAAAAAATTAGCCAGGCGTGGTAGCACGCACCTATAGTTCCAGCTACTTGGAAGGCTGAGGCGGAAGGATCGCCGGAGCCCAGCAGGTCGAGGCTGTGGTGGCCAGGAGTGGCCACTGCACTCCAGTCTGGGCGACAGTGAGACTACAACTCAAAAAACAAAACAAAACAAACAAATGTAAAAACCATTCTTAGCTTGTGAGTCATATAAAAGTAAGGTATGGACCGAATACCTGCTGGAATAATAAAAGGTTTAACTAAAAGGTTAATAGAACAGATAAAATGTAATAATAAGAAATACTTGATTATATAAAAAAATTCATATTGGAAGCATTTCCCCATTCACTAAATAAATTTAAAAACTATTATTTTAATATTGTATAATATTGCATTGTAAGGATTTATCACAAAGTATTTAACCAATTCCTTGCCACTAGATATCTCTATTTCCAGATATATATGTGTGTGTGTATATATATATATATATATATATATTTTTTTTTTTT